AACTTTGGGTCATGACCGAAAGGGCAAGATCCAGGATACAGGCGGCCGAAATGAGCTTTCTCCACAGGGCGGCCGGGCGCACCCTTAGAGATAGGGTGAGGAGCTCAGTCACCCAGGAGGAGGTCAGAGTAGAACCGCTGCTCCTCCACATCGAGAGGAGCCAGCTGAGGAGGCTGGGGCATCTGTTTCAAATGCCTCCTGGGCGCCTTCCTAGGGAGGTGTTCCGGGCATGTCCCACCGGGAGGAGGCCCCGGGGAAGACCCAGGACATGCTGGAGGGACTATGTCTCTTAGCTGGCCTGGGAACGCCTTGGCATTCCCCCGGAGGAGCTGGAGGAAGTGTCTGGAGAGAGGGAAGTCTGGACATTTTTGCTTAGACTGCTGCCCCCGCGACCCGGTCCCGGATAAGCGGATGAAAATGGATGAATGGATGGAGACAATGATTCTACTAAATCAAATGAAATTGAGTATTACAAAATTTACAATCAATAAGCAGCAAAATGAAGCAATAAGCCTCAGGCAGCTCAGAGATCTCAGTGCTGATGTTGCTGAAATCTGTTAGGTCCCACAGGAGCCAGTTTTCATGAGCCCTGTAAATGTGAACATCTCGGATCTGCAGATCCAGAATATGACTTGGATCCAGATCAGACTTTGACGTGTGGTAGAACTTATGGGGATGTTATTTTGCAATTTTACTCTGAGCACTGTATAAGTAAAAACACTGAAACTGGACCTATGTCACAGTGGACCTGGATGATGATCCAGATCAGCACCAAAACCTTCCAAACTGTTCCATGGGCCACACCCTACCTCTCCAAAAATATCAAAGTCCATTCATCGCTTCTTGAGTTATGTTGTAAACAAACCGACAAACAAACAAAGCAGCAAATGCTGTAAAGACATAAACCCCTTGGAGGAGATAACAAGTCCTGACAGACACGGGAAAGATTGAACTGCAAACTATTATGTTTGCCATGAATGTCTGATATGAAGCTGGTGTTTTGAGACAGTTTATCTTGTCATTTCCAAAAGTTCAGAAGGTAAAACTTAACTTAATATTCTACAGTAGCCATGTTGTTAAAGACTTTTATTTCAAAGCTGTACATACATACAGTAATGGTAATGTCATTTCCTGATGTTTCTACAGATGCTGCTGCTCCCAGCCAGTGTGCTAATTGGCCTGCTGTGCCTGAGCCATGCAGGGGCTGTGTGGGGTTTTGCCCGCCTTCTGGATGACAGGGAGCTATGTTCAGCTTTCTCCGTTGCACGAACCAACAGCATGGAAGGTGGACCAAAGATGACGGTGACCTTTGACACCATTTATGTCAACATTGGCGGGGATTTTGACCCCAAGGCTGGCGTGTTTCGTTGTCGCATACCTGGGGCCTACTACTTCTCTTTCACAGTGGGAAAGTTTCCACATAAAGACCTTTCGGTGATGCTGATGAAGAACAGAAACGAGGTGCAGGCCATTGTGTATGAGGAGAACGCCGGAGAGGAGAGGAAGGTAGGCTTAAGGCCACTTGTATCTAATTCTGTTCAAGGGGTGTGAGTGTTTTTTTCATGAATGAAGTTATCAGACTGGCGCCAGTAATGACACACAACAACGACAAGTTTTCATACAAAGATATTGACAGATGATGAGACAGAACAGAATTTGACTGAAGGTGTTAAATTTGAAATAATAATTGTCATAAAATATTCTAATGAAAAAATGAGTGGGACCAAATACACAGCCCTGGCAGTGTGTACATCCATCTTACATCTGTCACTAGTGATCTTTTAGCTTAAGGAGAAAAAAAAAATCCTAACTGAAGGCATTGTCAGACCAGTAATGAAATGGCTGAATCTTGGTCCCTCTGGAAGTGGAAACGTTTTTTTTTTTTCATCTTTCTCAAGTTTAAAACAAAGAAGTTGTCCTAAGCCTGGTCTCCCAGTCAAGTCTGCCTCTGGTTAAAAAAAAGGCTGAACTCTATTTCAGGACGATTTTTTTCCCCTCCAAGGAAATGTTTACAAAGGTCTTTCACCATGTTGGCACTCTCCAACTGTCTTAGTGCAATATAGCTCTTCTCCCAGAGGGTGTGCGTTTGTATTGAGGTGGAGAATGAAAGCAGAACAGAGAGGATTACACCAGATTCCCCTGAACGAAGAGCTGTGTGAGGTAGATGATCGGATTAGGTTGGCCTCTGTGCCTTGATGCAAAGCCAAGCCAGGTGTGACTGCGTGACCAGGGTAATAAACTCTGCTTCCACCCTCAGGTTCAGAGCCAGAGCATCATGCTGCAGCTCGAGTTTGGGGACACCGTCTGGCTCCGTCTCCATGGTGACCCTCGCTACGCGCTCTACAGCAACACCGGGCACTACACCACCTTCAACGGTTACCTCGTCTATCCCGACACCTACGGCTACCAGACACACCATCAGTCTGCCTACAACTCCCAGCAGCCCGAGCAGGCTAAGAGCCCCCTGTTGAACAGTAACCAGGCCACAGAGCAGGACAGGTCTGCAACAAGAGACACGCAGGAGGAGAAGGAGCTGCAACATAGAGAGGAAGAGGAGGAGGAAGATGAGGAGGATGACCAGAGATCTGCATTCTCGGTGGGGCGCACCCAGAGCATCATGGGGGTCAACCAAGTGGGCATGCCACAGCACCAGCCAATCAGTTTTGACACGGCCTTGGTCAATATCGGAGAAGATTTTAACGTCACGGGGGGGGTGTTCACTTGTCGCGTTCCCGGTGCGTACTACTTCTCCTTCAACGTGGGCAAGCTGCCGCAGAAGACACTGTCAGTCAAGCTGATGAAGAACCATCTGGAAGTGCAGGCAATGATCTACGACGACAGCCAGGGCGAGAAAGCTCTGCAGAGCCAGAGCTTGATGCTGTCGCTGAAACCAGGAGACACCGTCTGGCTCTACTCCCACCAGAGAGATGGATTCGGGGCCTACAGCAACCACGCCAAGTACATCACCTTCACTGGCTTCCTGGTTTACCCCGACTTCCCCATCAGCCAATCGTATGCAGACAAGAAGCCCTAGCTGCAGAGCATCGGCTCAGGCCTGAACATCGTGGGAGGAATTCATGTGAGATGGAAATGCCCAGAGTCCACAGAAGGTGTTGGGAGGTTCTGTGCTTTGTGGCGTTCTTTGACACTTCCTCTTCATATGAATTCCTTCACAAAGTCATAGGGACCTCGGACTGAGGGCAAAGCTTCAATGTCCAGCTAACAGCTTCCCAGGACATGACTTCATCTCCCACAAATAAATGGCTGTAATGTGAACTGAATATTTCACTCTGTCATGAAAACGGAGTCATTACCTGCTCATCTCTGTGTCAGCCAGACTCTCAAAGGAGTAAACTTTTGTACTTCCATCTAGTGGTGGAAGTACACATGCTCGTGTACAGCACTGCGGGATAAGCTTGAATTGCTTGTGCTTTACCTGAATATTTACATTTTATGGAACTTATCCTTCTACCAATTAATATTTTGCATACAAAACATATGAAGAGCTCATGAAATCTAATGTACTGTTATAGGCTTAACTACTCAACAGTACATAAAGTGAGAGATGAAATGATGAGTCAATCGGCAGAAAAGTAAAACAGATCAGTGTAATTACAAAATGCCAAACGGTTCAGGCTTCCAGCTTCAGACGGGAGACTTTTCTGCTCTTCAATGCTTTAAATGAAAATAACCTGAGTAATTCTGGGTTTGACTATTGCTCAGACAAGAGAAGCAAGTGAAAGGTTTCATTTTAGTTCTTGGTATTTGTGAAAGGCATTTCTCACCATTTTACAAAACAATCAATCAACCTGGAAGAAAATTATCAGCTGATTAGTCCATAATTAATCGTTAGTTACAGATATATACAGAAAGTTTACAGTTAGAGGTGAAATGATACATAAAGCAGCGGTGCCTCCATACTGCTGGGACTTTTTACAGATTAAAAACACTATTCTGTGTCCACAGCACCATGATCAAAGATTTTTACGATCAAACAGCTGGTAGAAGAAGAAGCTTAGCTGAGATCCAGATTCACTGTGCACCCCCAATTAAAACAAAAGGACAATTCAGCCCGATTATAAATATGATTAATAAATAAAGCTTTAATTCTCTTATTTGTGCTGTAGGCGAGGCTCATTAGTGGACAGTTGCCTGACATAAAGCTGAGGAGGTAATCACTGATGTTTCATTTTTTTAGTGAAATACTCCTTTAAACGCACTTATCCATGTCAAAGACTCAGTGTTTCTGCTCGTGTGTAAAAAGTTACTTTACTCTGTCTTCACAGGCATGTGAACATGATATGAACTGTGTTTTATGTCAAAATGGGTCTTTTCTTCATGTTGGAGTGTTTCTCGTCCCAACACTCGGCCACAGCAGGAGCAGAGGACAAGAGGACCAAACTGACTTAGTTTTGGAAAAGTGCCGACTGCGTTCCCATCCAACTGTTGACCACATGCCACCCCTGGGCCTGCGGGCATCTGGGTCTTAATTTGATTTCTAATTCAAGCAGTGTTTAATCTATTTCCTCACTGTGGGGAAAATTGAATTGCTCCTCCCAGGCTGCTGTAATATTCAGGTCTGTTTAATTTCCCACCGCCTGAGGAAAGACTGATTTGATGAACCATGACTTTATGAAAGCGAGTCCCCACGTGAAGTGATACTTCACTGTGCTTGAACAGATTTTTTATTACACTTAACTGGATGTGAATTTATGACAAGTGGAGTTCTTATATAAACATTAGTCCTGTGATGTCAAGTTGCAAACACAGCACATCACCTGCCCATCACCTCATTAGCTGTTAGCAAACAGTAGCTAGTTTACACATCTAGCAGTTACAAAGCAACATGATCATTCATTTGGAATCATGTTTCTGCCAACCTGGAGAACCTCAGTCCACCGTTCCCTCTCTGTTAGCTGCTAACAGCTGGCCTCTGACTGGGCCTGTTTGCTGCTGAGCAGGTTGTGGACAGTGATTATTTAGGGCTTTTTCTTTGAAATCACCTGCTTCAAAACAACGCCATGAGAGCGGACCAAAGCAGGAAAGCTGTGGTCCAGACACGAAACAATGAGCTTAAACTCCCTGTAAAGCTCCAGCTGATAAATCTCAGTCAGCCCATATGACCTCTTTCACATGGTCATGTTGCTTTCACATTATCTGATACAAAACAAAACAAAAATGAAAAACAACTATAGATGCTTTAGGTGTGAAACTAATTTTGTAGAAAATCTACTCGGCAAGGGAGAGCGCTGATATTTTAGTATCAGCTCTAAGAGGGTCGGTGCACCTGATTTCTGCCCCATGTTCAATACAGCTGAGGTGAAGCAGTTTTGGGTGTTGTGCTCAAAGCACAAAAAATGACATTTAAAGTTGCACTGATCAGTACTTTTGTGTTAATGGTGGACCAATTGACTGATTTAACACTTACAGAGAATTATCACAGGACTCTACAGTTCTCCTCTGCTCTGTGGAGCTTTTTAGCATCTTTTAGCTCGGTGTTTTGTTTCCGGTTCACTCCCACTGCCCTGCTAAACACATTTAGCAGTTAAAGGGCCAAATATTTTTTTCAGGAGCTGGTGGAGACCAAAACAGAGTTTAAAAAGGAGTAGTGAGGCTATACATTCAACGGGTTGACAGAAACATGACTCATGCTGTGTGCTGCATGTTTCAATAAGAAGCTTCACTAATGCTTCACCATAACAAAATTAAATGGTGATAATACGTATGTCACTGTTGCATTTACAACTTGATCCTTTGACAAAAAAAAATCCTTAATGCAGCAACAGTGACAATGGTTGATCCACAGAACAATGTGCTGTGTGTTGGGAAATACGATAAAGAACTCTGAGAAAAGATGCCTGGAACACACAACACCAAACGACACATTTAGAAACTACCAGTTATGAGAACATGCTTTGTCTAATTCAGGTGAACAGACTCTTTGAAATGGAGGCAGAAAAGAGATTTTCAGGCCCCTAGGAACTATTAAAGTCATCTAAACAATCTGAAAAGACAAACATATCCACGAATGACACAGAGAACATGATCTTTGTTAAGATGTCACAAACGTAACTGGTCTCCAGCTCTGGGTCCGGGAGCCATACTGCTAAGGTGGGGCCTCAAGAAAATTCTGAGTGGTCGCAAGATAATTAATATGAACAAGACATGGACAAAAGGTTTTATTGCTTCCTATAGTTTTTTATTAAATAAGATTATAGATATTTTATTTCTTCAAGCCTAAAAAAATTCTCAAAAGAGTCTATGTAAAAAAAATTACTTATGTTAACTGAGACTTTACCCTGTGACAGAAGTGGAGTCACAGAAAGGTTGGAGACCACTTCCCCCAGATCCTGGAACAAACTTTGGAAACCACTGAAGGTGGTTCGTAGCTTCCATTTAACTTAAACAGCACAGAAAGCTAACAGAAAACAATGCTGTAGTCTTGTCTGTGAACATTCCCACTGCGTTTCGACTGATGCACTACAGCAGTGTTGACTGCACGGCTCACATGCTTAAACTGGCAGCTCGCATGGCAGCAAATACATGATAATCCAGCCAATGCACATTAGTCCTAAATACCCAAAACAGACACATTGTTCCTGCACATGATGACAGCGTAGGCTACAAACATGGCACCTACCCCATTGTCCATATGTATGTGTCCTCAGAAGCCAAGTGTGCCACAACTCCTGTGTGTTTTCATCACTGTTTTCCGCACAAGAAGCAGTTCTGAACTCGACAAACGCTGCCATGTGCCACCCGGCGTTTGGCTGTGCGTAAAGTACAGTTACCAGTTACAGTTCTGTTTCTCTCCTTCAAAATAATTTTTCACTGCAAGCTTACAAGATCATGATCATACAGATATTTTAATAACATTATTAAAAATAATGCTGAGCTGATAGTACTGCAATCATAACGTCCATCACAACGTGTATCTCATGATTCTTCATGTGACCTTTTCATTAGATTTTGAGGCCTAGTGAACTGTAGTGTGGATTTGATGTGTTAAGTTGGCAGAACAATGCGTATGGTTCTCTTAGAAGTGTTGGTAATGCTGGAAATTCTGACAAAACGTCACATGCAGCTGAACCTTCTACACTTCGCTGCCCTTTATGTAGTTCACTGCCATTTAAAAATATTCACCTGTACTCCAGCTCCTCACCCTGAGACATGCTTGCCTACTTGAAACGTGTAAGAAGGGCACAGGAGAGGTTAAGAAAAACTGAAAAATGAGTTTTCAAACCTTTGCATCTAACATGCAACCAAACCAGCTCGGGTCTTAAGTAACCTGGATGTCATTCATGTCCAAAAGCTGTGTGGCCTTTTGGTGCTGTGTGGTTTATGTGGCTCCCAGGAAACTGTCAAGATTAGGCTTCTGCTTTTAAAAATATTTTCACAATGAAATATCAAAACCTTAAAAAGATCAAATGAAATAGGCAGACCTGTAGATGTGGCACACAGTGCTGTCCCAGTGGTCCCAGTCATAAAGGTCTTTACCTCACAGTGATCCGCTTGGAACTGGGGAGATGGTCTCACGCCTTCTGTGGAAACTAACAGACAGCGAGTCTAGGGCTTGACACTCTCACGGGCCTCTTGGCACCACTAGTCCACAGTTTCCTAAGGCTGCTGGGATGTCTTGGAAAGTGACTGCATATCTTCACAGTATGAAACTGTGCTGTGGGTAAGTCTCATTTCATGTATCCTGTCACATTTCAGCCTCAGTGAGTGAGCAGTGCACAGTGACGGACCAGCTTTAAAACCTGGCCCGACCAGGTTCACTCGCTCATGATCAGCCTGGTGACACCTGTCAACAACCAGCGACACATCCTGCACAGGACTCGTGGTGTGTGAAGTGACTTGAGCATATGACACAGTCAGTGTGATGCATGCATGTAAATGAAAATACAGTGAGTTAAAAAGATACGTTCTCATGATGGCTGAGCAGCTTCAGTCAACACCTGTTAACTGTGCGTTCTTATTGATCAGTGAATTATCTGTGTTGGATGTTTCTGGTCTGTGCTTCTCTATAGTCCTGATGAAAGGTCAGTCATTGTGTTTTAGAAACTGTTGCTCAGACATGGGTCAAAATGTGGTTAAAGTACTGCTTTGTTATCACTGTCTGGCAAAGTTAGCACTTCTGTTTTTCCAAAAGCACAAATTCAAGCATGATGAGAAGAATAGGTACTGAAAAAATATTCTAACCCATGTCGTTTTCAGAGGTCTGGCTCATGTTGACTCTGAAATGTTCTGAGTATTTCTTCCATGTAAAATGAATGCTTCAATAAAAATGTCTGACCAAATAAAAAACAAGAAACGTACAGGCTGGACTGTGTGAACTGAGATAATGAACTGACAGAAGAAAGCAACAGTCAGCTGCACAGCATCTCTTGGGTTTTATGTTGTGCTGCAGCGCCACCTGCTGGGTGACTGAAGTGTGGCGGGCTCAGCAAAATGATCACTGACCGATTTTATAGATGCAGATTTAAAGGAACGTCTAGAATGACATCAAATAGTTATGTAGCAAAACTGTTGAAATAAACACTGAAATGAGCAAAACGGATGTTTTCAACAGATACTCTATTTCGGCCAAAAGTATGCGGACACGCCTGGCTTGGGCCCATGTTTTAACAAGCTGCTAAAGGTATAATTTTTGATATAGGTATATGAAACAAATAAAAATCCTTATTATTATTTTTTTTTACTTCTCACAAACTTAATAAAAACTGTTAAGCTTCTTTTGACTTAAAAATACTCTTAAGAGCTTTTAAATTGGCTAAACTTGGATCTTTAATGTGATCTTTGAGTTTTTAATCTTTTAGCAGTGATTACTTTGTTTTCCATTGATCTTTTTTCTTTTCCTTATTCGTGTGGCATCGTTCCTTTAATTTACACGTTACATTTACAGCATACTTATTATATGAACTTCTCCAGTGTTTGGTTCATAAATGTGCAAACATTAAATTGTAATAAAAACCGCAAATCCACAAATAATCTTTTAAACATTGTTTTATCAGTATTTTTATTTACATAAATATTTCAGGTGGGTTTGTTCAGGGGGTTGGAGTCCAAGTCTGACACAGACAGAACATGATGAAGATGATGTGTGGAGACTCAACAGAGGGACGTCACTTCTTCTCTGGGGCCTCGTCACCGGCCTCCAGTTTGGGCGCAGCTTCTTTGGGCTCTCGGTAGGCAGGGAACACCTCCCAGGGTGTGTTCAGGTCAAACTTCCTGAACTCCTGCGCCAGCTCTATGGGCTCAGCCACCACGCGCTTCACCTCATCGTCATAACGCACCTGCACAGGGTACAGCTGTTTCAGCATTTTCATGGTGAGCTTGTGTAACACCACCCTCACATTCAGCTAGCAACCTCTCTTCCAGCAGATTTAACAAATGCAACAGAGGAGGGACCAGTCACTGAGCTCCACCCGGTGGAGCTGGGTCTGGACCTTGGAGCCAACCAGCTGGGAGAAGCTGCTGTCGGACTCCCTGGGTACATCTTTGTTCCCTAAACGGTACCCACACTTCCCTCACATGCTGAAAAGATGTGAGGAGAGAGAAAATGAGGAACTATGATTTTAGAGAAGCGAGACTGAACCATCACATGAAGCCACATCCGACTGGTGACAGCGGATGAACCAGCTGGCAGTCAGCTTCACTCTGTATTCACCTTGAGCTCAGGTCAGTTAAACTGCACTGTGTGCATGTTCTTCACTGCTCAGAGGTTACATGCACTTGCATTTGAAACACAATATGAATTGGGTTCGAAAAATCACCAGTATCAACATCATATGCCAACAAGTCTGTGTGTACAGCTGAAAAAAGGGCATAGTTCCTCTTTAAGGACTGAAACCGGAGGTCTTGAGGAAAAATATTAAAAAATCAACTACATGGGAAGCTTTTCATGTCAAGACACCCCGATGCATTTAAAGCAGATCTCCTGTCATCACTGTGTGAAGTGTCCATCCTCAGACACAAAGACGATTTTTGATGAACATTCCCCTAAAGGAAATCAATTTCACAAAGTATTTAGGCCTTAAATTATTCTTTGCCAGTGCAAATGATCAAGGATTTTACAGGCCTATGAGAACCCTGGATTAATTATGACGAACTCAAAAACTAAATATATAAATAAATAAAAACGGAAGGATCCAGCAGACTGAAATCTGCCGATCCTTCAACATTCATCTTCTGGAGGACACACCTGGACCCCCCGTTGCTGGCAGAGCTCACCTCAACATATCCTGACAGAGGAAAGTCCTTCCTGAAGGGGTGACCCTCGAAGCCATAGTCTGTCAGAATGCGCCTCAGGTCAGGGTGATTGGCAAAGAACACGCCAAACATGTCCCACACCTGTATAAACACACACATGCACACTTTTATTCTCAGCTTGGTCAGTCTCAGGGTCTTCCGTCTAAATGTTACCACTGGGCTTCTCAATTCATAGTTGCAAACAAGCGTATTTGTGCAGACGATGCTTGGCTCTAGTTGTGAGACTCTCAGTACAAAGCAGAAAGCCACATTTTCAAAAACTGAATGAGGATAAAACGGAGGTCGTCATCATCAGCCCGAGGGCTCGACAGCTGCTGCTGCTCCAAACCCTGGGCTGTTTGACCACAAATAGCAAACCACACAGGGAAAATTTAGACCATAATTTTTCATCCATGCTGAGAAACTTGCACAATTGCTTTTATTATGGTAATTATTTACACTGTTGTCTGTAGCTGCAGCTCATTACTCCAGCGTTGGCCTCTGCTTTGGCTGCCACTCGAATTTAGAATAAAAGGTCATAGTTACCACCCAAAAGGCTCTACATGATCTGCTCCCATTGACAACAGTTCATTTCAGTTGTAAAAAGAATGCCACAGGTGTGTTCTGCTGGTGAATTAAAGCTCATACAACGGGATAAATGGAGGTGTTCTCAAACCTTTGACCAGTGTGTCTGTGTGCCTCACTTTTCTCTCCTGTTTTTGCATGATGTGTTGCTCCGTTGTATGCCATGTCTGTTAGATGCCTTGTTGTTTGTGAGGCACTCTGTAACCTTGGTTTTGAAGAGTGCAACATAAGGAAACCGTAACTTCCTCTTCTGCTGTTTGTACAAGGAAAAGGTGTCGGGGATGCGACTCACCTCCCTCTCGTACCAGTTGGCGCCCTTGTGGATGGAAACAACAGAGTCCACAGGTGTTAACTCATCCGTGTACGTCTTAACACGAATACGAGAGTTGTAGCGCAGCGACAGCAGATTGTACACAATCTGTGAATAATCAGCACAAAACACTATGATTAGTTTACTTTTAAATCCTGGCCCAGTTGTGGGTAAAGTCAGGGCTGTGTTTTGTTCTCAACTGAAGTGCTTTGAACAGACTATCACTCTGATCAGCTTCTTTTCTGCAGTGGCTGAGGCTCATTTGTACTGTAGTGTTTAGATGCATCCACCAAAATGACAAACATGATTTGCAGAAACAAAGTTGAAATAATTAAGACTAGTGACTATAATGTAAACCTACAGTATATGATCATTATGTTATCCTGTGTTAAAGATGTTAATGTTAAAGGTAGTTTTATCGATGTTGCACGTCAACATCATGACGTGTGCCTGTAATGCATCAACAACCTCAAAGCGGTTCTGCCGTGTTGGGACGTCGACTGCAGTAAGGTCAACCATGCTCCTGAACTGGCCGTTGGTGTGGTCCCTCAGGAAGGTCAGCATTGGGATCACTCCGTCAGGATGGATCATCACCTCCAGCTCATTATAACAGGTCACCTACACACACATTATCAAACTATCTGAAATCTGAACCAGAACTGGTTTCTGACTCATTTCCAAGTTGGCAAACATACTACGATTCACCAAGTTCTATAACCAACAGATGCCTTTCAGTCACAGAGACAAGCACTTGGAATGATCAATGTAAAAATCCGGGCTGGAAAGTGCTGGCTGCTCCTATACTCACCTTTGCCCCGCAAATCTCCACAGATCTAAAGATGGTACAACCCACAGAGCCACATTAAGCACATTTATGGAAAACAAGTGCACTGTGCAGCACAACAAGTTATTTAACTGACAGTCACTGAAAAATAAAAGAATGCTTTCCACTTCAACAACCTGTTGGTTTTATTGCTACAGCTGCAGCACAGCTCCCAGGAAGAATGAGTGAGGGCAGGGTTAATGAAAGTCAGAGAGCAGGACTGAAATATTGGGTGAACCCCACGACTCAGCGCCACAGCAGGATCTCCACGGTTTAGGTTGGATTATTTGTTACTGTAGTTTCTATTCATGTCCACATCCACTAGGTGGGTCTTAAATTCATATGAGCAACTATGCTATTAACATGTCTAGACAAATCTAGACTTAAACATCAACACAAAAATGTGGGAATTTGTTTGGTTAGTGAAATGAAACCACTTTAACTACCAGATCTCTTCATTCCCCACCAGACAAACTACTTAAAAAGATTCGATAAGGATTTTGATTCAGATTTGAAAAGCAAACAATGAACTGTCCTCAGATTCAATCTTCTTGAATTTGTGACCATTTTAAAAGGTAAAACTAGATTACTGTAGGTATGGATAGGCCTGTTTGTATGGAAACCACACCCACACCCTGCTGCACCCACAGCGACCCATCCAATTCTGATACCAGCATTCAGTCACCACATCTTCAACAACTGTTACTCCTGAGTCCTGACTGATATTGACACTCAAAGGCTCACATAAGTGCTGTTCAGCTGTGATTAAAAACAGCTGGCAAACAGCACTCTGGTGCGTGATTTCAAACTGCAGCGTGTCATCTGAGATCACCCTGGTCGATCCACAGACTAGCAGTACAGACAAGGAGAAGCTTACAACTCCCCCGTTGCCCCCGATGGTTAGAGCCATCACTTGAGTTGGCGCCGCAGATGGCTGCCATCGGTTCTGTACCGGAAACAAATTCCTTGTGTGTAACATACTTGGCCAATAAAGGTGATTATCCTTATCCTCTATTAACTCTGACAGTCTTATGGGCACATGAACTGACCTGGACCTGTTGAACATATTTGGGCATCATCTCAGCCACGTACTCCCCAAACGCTGCCAGCTGGTTGTTAGTGACAGCATCCTTGGGCCTGATGGTGGCTGCAGGAAGGACAGAGAGGGTGTATGATAACTGAGAACGCAGTGATCGAGCTGTCAGACATGCTCAATGTTCAAAACAGCTGCAAGTGTTGTTCAGGATTTATCCTTCAGAAAAACTGATGCTAAATGCTGTAACCTGAATGTGATGACAGCTATGGCCAAAACCATCTGCACTTGAGGGACCTAAGACAAAAACCAGCTCCTGACACCCTTTTTCTCAAACAAGACCGACCTTCAGGACGTCATCTCATCAGCTGACAGTGCTTTAATGGTCCACACAAAGAAACCCTTTAATAAACTACAACTCAATACTTAATAAACTACTACTCCACAAGCTGGAGCTTATGCAAGTTAACAAAGAGGTTAGTGGTTCAAACATCCTGACTGCTGCTAAACTACTGGATTCTATTAGTCATCTCTTGCAGCATCAGTTAGTGTGTACTCACGGCTGGTCTCAGTAGTGGAGCTCTGCAGTCTGCTTTGCTGCTGCAGGACACACCAACTCCGTGCACCTGAGAAAAAGGAAGGAGTCAAAAGGTGAAACATGGTGCTGACAGCTGAATCTACAGAGGAGCAGGTAATGTGAGCAACAAGCACACGAACAAGAACAGTCACACATAAGACAGTGTGATAACAATTCAATGCACAACACAATTGAAAATTCAGTGACAACAGTGTATGGCTGTGGAATACTTGTACTTTATTCTTTTCCGATTTTCTAGCACTGGTTTGACTATGTAAAGAACAACTAGATAGCCTAACAGAACACAAAATTAGTACATCTTATTTACCAAAAATATGAAGTCACTGAAGACCACACGATATACATCTCTAAACAAAACAAAACATAGTGATGTTTTGTTGTTTTTAAACTGGTTAATCCCACTATCCATCCTCTGATGCTAATCCAGGTCTATCTTGTATTTATTTTTATTTATATTATAGCTGAAACAGTGACTTCATTCATCAGTAGATCAACAGAAAATAATCAGCAACAATTTAAATAATCTCTGAATAATTTCAGTAATTTCCAAGCAAAACGAATGAAAAGACAAAAACTGTATATATTGGTGTTGGTCTGTAGGTTGGACAAAACTGACTCTGCAAAGGTGTGAGGGGCATTTTGTCACGTTTAATGTTCAACAGAGCAAACAATCCAGTAATAGAAAAAAAATCAATCAGCAGATTAAACAAAAGATTTAGTTTAAGCCCTAAACAAATGTATTAAAAATATATATAGTATGATGAGGAACAATATACCAACAATGTGAAATAAATGAAAACATTTACATTGGCTTGATAATTTAAGGCCATAACACCCCTTCTGGCTTTTATTGACATCCCTAAAGAGGCCCCGTCTCATTATTACAAAATGCCCAAGCTTATACTGTTCATTTTCATTCATCCTGATCTGTTCGTGATAATTAGCTGAGAAACTGAAATCGGACACAAGGCTATGCTCAACCTCCTGTTTACGTTTCTCCGTTAGCTGTTCTGAGACTATTTTGCAATTAAAAGGAAGATAAATAAATCAAAGGTTCGTCTTCTACCCAATTTAAAACACTTGTGCGCGACCGTTTGTTGTCTAACATTAAATAACCCATGTATCACAAAAACGGCAGAAAGAACCTCTCCGGTCTGTCAGCCTACTGTTAGCATTAGCTAGCTCGAAGGTCAAACCCGAAACATTTGGCGGGTGAAAACGAGACAATGTCGCTTTCACTAACATGTAAATGTTGCTGTCTACAACTGATAACCGTAGCAAAAACTGTGCATAAAGACAAATTTATTTATAGCGAACTTACAATTAAAACTGCTGCCAAGACCTGAGCGGACAAACCGCAACAACGACGCCGCCATGTTTGCCCCCTTTAGTTCTTCTTCGGACAGAAACAAGTCTGCTGTGTCGCCCCCTGGTGGTCTGAAGGTTTAAGCGCAGAGCGCTAACAAAATCCTTGTTCATGAAGGTGATGAGCTGATTCAACTGCATGATCATTTTGGAAGCTGCAGTTTTTGTGGAACGTCACTGTTATACAGAAAGATGTTTTTATTATTTAGCCTAGCCCCACTGATATTACTGGGCTTAACAAAATAAAAGTACCTCTCAATATAACACATTACACTTCTCTTCCTTATGGTCAACAAGTAAACATTATTTTTACAGGAAAATATTCCACGTGTAAAATGTGTATATAACTCCTATTTCTCAGTGTAAAAAACATATTTTCTTAGATTAAAATGTGTTAGTTACAACAGATTAAAGGAAGCATGCTACACTTTAAAAACTGTGCACATTTTTCTCTCCAATCTATTGAATTATTTAATAAATTTGAAAATTAAATGAAATATTGAGAAACACAAGCAAACAACTGGTCTATTCCAGGAGTTATGTTAAATGTCTTGACACTTGTTTCTGCTTGACATTATGATATATAGTCTTACTGTGTTGTTGTACAGTGCACTACAATTGCTGAGACTGGTTTCATCAATATAATAACCATATGATATACTCCAAAACTAGTGGTGGAATAGTTTTCCTACTTAAATACTAGCAAAAATACAAATACTACAATGGGAAAATATTTTACAAGTAAAATTAAGTATCAGTTAAAAAGATTTAGTAGTAAAAAATACTCAAAGATTAAAAGTATGCTGCAGTTTAGTGAAAAACTTTCCGCTTTTAGTTTTTTCATGCATTGAAATCAAATGAAGAAGGAAGGAGTGAAGTAACAGGTGAAGGGAGGCACTGCTACTGGTCTCGAGCACATGAACTTAGTTCCTTTTCTGCTCTGGCTAAAATGGAGGTGGTGCACTGTCGTACTGTGTGCAACAGCTGTGCTCTGTCAGAGTCATAGCAGTAATTCTATCACATTAATGGAACTACGCTCAGACACATACTGTATACACGTTTTTTCCAGTAATGCCTTAATACTAAAAATAAATGAACATAAAGCGCATTAGACTGTACTGACTGTATTTAGCGTCATTCTCAAGTTGTGAGGCACCAAAGAAAAAACTTGATAAACTGAAATGTCTTCCATGAAACACTGTAACAAGCACACAGCAGTTCTATAACATGGAGTGGAAACAGGTCGGCCCTGTTGTTTTATGGAATTTTAGAGGCTTAAACAGGATAGTGAGGAGTGGAAGGTCATAAAATGGGGCTTCAGGTATTTCAAAAATGTTTCCATTTCTTTTACCATACGATCTGAGCTTTACATGTTTCAAGGTTTTAGCTCCTGGTGATCACAGCAAGGAGTCACTTGGGTAACAAAAAAGTCAGTGACTTAAATTTTTGAAATCATTACTGTCATGAATTAACCACTAAAATCTGTAATGTGCCAGTAAGTCTTGAAATTTGGTCTACAAACAAACATGGAGTTTTCTCTTCACTCTTCTTTGACTGACTGAAGAGACAGCAGCTGCGTTTTATGTCACGGTGGCTTTAAGCTCAGCTCTGAGTCTCCAGCCTTCCAGCTGCTGTAGGAGCATACTGAGGTCCGACCCGTCGCCGTGCGCTCTCAGCTGCACTGTCCACACACCTGCTGGTAGTATTTCCTCAGCATCTCCAGCTGAGAGGAGCGCACCAGGATGTGGGGCCGAACAGACGCCAGCTTCTCATAGGCCTCCTCTGGAGTCCAGCAGTGTAGCTGTCAGCACACAAGCACAATGTGAGGACCCCATCACTTGGACAGGAGGAACCATTAGAGCGTAGTGTTTATGTGCCAACCATCTACTTAATACTGATGTCAGGGTTGGAGTGTGGGCAGCAGGGGATGACAGGATAGTGTGACCTCTACACAGATATTACTGACCCGAATGAGGTACGCAGCGACCAGTGTGGCGCTGCGGGAGCGCCCAGCCTTGCAGTGGACATACACGCTGGTTCCCTGCTCGCGGTGCTGCAGAGCGAACTCTACACCTCGGTGCAGGTTCTCCAGGCTGGGGACGCCAGTGAGGTCAACGGTGCTCAGCCTCAGCTGTGCCACCCCTGCAGCTCGCCACTCCTGCACCCAACATCAAACACACCAAGTTGTTTAGCATAGAATATGTCGATGACAAACCCAGCCTGCACTTATTTTCCACTGTGAGAAATCAGGCTGTGGTAATCAGCAGTGTGGTGCAGCACTGTGTGACGTTTACCACGGGTTCACAGCTTCTGGTTTCACCCAACTGTCATTCAGGCCCCAGCAGATGGATGTCAAACCAGTCTAAGATTGCACCTTACTATTATTTTAATTTTTACCTAATGTGTTGAATATTTTCTCCATTAATACCAAAGAAATTATGACATATAGCTGTTATAACTTCACAGAACCCAAGGTAATGTCATCAGATTATCTGTGCTGTCCAACCAAAAATAATTCATTTTCAGTTAATTGACTAACTGATCACTGGTTTAAGTTACAAACCAATCATCAACAGCTCATCTGATTGACACCACCCGCCATACTGAGGCTTCTGCATAACAACTAGCTGCTGCATCACTTGTTAATTTCCTCTTACACACAAGATGCTTGTCTGTCTGAATCTTCAACTCAAGAGTGCAAAGTGACCTGAACTCACCTCAGCTGAGTTGCAAAAATATTTGGTCTCATACATCTCATTCATGGTGATAATTCCTCGGACATTTTCTGTTTCTACCAGCTGCAACACAAGAAATGACAGACATCAGTTCTCACAGTTGATGGCCCGCTAGCAGCTAAGAGGAGAGCGAGGCTGACTGGATCTCAAGCTTTGCAAACATGAGCATTTAGTTAATATGGTTCTGTGAATTCCTGGATGACTCCCACTGGCAGTCAGGAAGGAATGAAACAGAAATCATAATTACATTTGTCAAACCTAGACATGATTAACAAGTAGACTCTGGTAACTAATTAAAACACAGTGTCAGATTTGTGAAACTTAGTGTGTTTGTATTTCTACATTAAAAAAAATGCAATCGTGATCTGAGACAAAAGAGTGAAAGTGCCCTTTTGGCCTCATAAAGAAAAAGTTTTACAAAGCTTTAAGTGGGTTTTAATTAGCGTTATGACTTTAACTGATGTTTCACACACATTCATAACAATAAGTGGTGCAAACAAATGAAGAACTGACTGCTCAGTATAGTCATTTAAGATGGTAGATTCGACAGCTGCACAAATTACAGCTTCCAAAATGATTACACAGTCGAATCAACACCTCGCTGAAACTCTATGAACACAAACCAGCATTATCACTTTCATGAAGGATCAACTGCAGGAA